ATTTGTTTCTTAATATCTACAAATTTAGACAGACAGAACTGTTTTAAATGTGAGTGTGATTTGTCTCTGTATCGAAGGCTCTCTGTGACCACTGTGTGATCATTAACCACGTGTGTACTGTGCTTACTCACACAATATAACCTGAAACAAACTGATACTTCAGAACACTCCAGTGTAAAGGTGATAGTACATGTAGCCAGTCACAAATCATTGATTTTACTGAATCCTACCACATAAGAAAAATCCACATCCAAATCTTCAGTCGTGGATTTACTCATTCATATTTGTCTGTCTGTTGTTTTAGCCTTTAACTGAGGGATCGTTGATTTTTTAATTCGTGTGGAAAGGCAGTTTCAGAGAGGTGGGCCGTGTACTGACATTAGGATTTAGGGTCATTTCGAACTCTCAGTCATTATCAGCACATTGTACAACACCCCCTCACAGTTCATAACTCAGCTCTTTCACAATGTGTTTGATCTACACAGCTCGGCCAATCAGGACGAGACAAAATCCTCCTGATCCATAAACCAATACTGCTGCTGTCCTCTCTCCCTCTGTACAGTACAGTACAATGCATTCCCCACACGCAGGACAGTGATGAGACGTCTCTGAATCAGCTTCTACTCCACTGACAGAAGGATCTCACCCTCAGACTCTACATTATCTGCATTTCTCCCCCCCTGCGACAGGTTTAAGTCTGAGCTCCTCACCTGTGAGAGGAGCGTTGGTATAAAGGAAGTGGAGAAGTGTCTGTGGGGCGTCATGTCTGTGGTTAAAATCCTCTGCTGCTTGCTGTTAACCTATCACTTCAGTGAAGGGAAGAAAATCAAAGGGAACAGAGCAGGTGAGTCAAACGTCATGTTTGAAATCATCCCACAGAGGTGCGATCAAGACAATTGTTGCTTTTGTCAATTAATCAATGAATGAAAAATCTATCAAATTAATGGATCACAGCTACACATCAACAGACAATACAGAGGACAGATGGATCCCTGGTGGTTTGGTCACTTTCATGCTACACATAGTGATGGAACTGGGTTATTAATTTGATTTAATATTGGACAAATGTGGAAAAATATAATGCCTCCTGAATATAATTGAAGCCATTTCAATTTCCTTGAACAATGATATAAATAATGAATGAATTTATTTCTGATAAACTCCTGGTGACGCAGTTTTCAGACATATCACCAAACTGCAGTTTAAAAATTTTGCCTTTGACCCTTTAAACTTGGTTTTTACTGCCAGATTTCACCACATGTAGCTACTGGATGTAAACTTTCAGTTCTTCTGTTTTATCTTATATTTTATTTTAAATCCAACACTGGAATCAACTAATGACACAAGTAAGAAGCTGTTTCCACATTTCTTCATATCCGTTCTGTTGTGAAAAAACATAGTTGCTGATAGTATTGTAGGCCTGAACAATGTT